GCTGCAGGCTGGAGGGGAGGGGGCCCGATTCTGCACGCCCAGCACCCGTCGGTGCAAGGCCCCCGGCTGCAGGTGCTCGCATAAATCAGGGTTGTTAATAGACGCACAAGAGATCCCAGGCAGAGGTTGAGCCCCTGCTGCAGAGGACAGCAAAACCCCCCAGTCCGCACCAGGGGGAAATCATCTTTCTGTCCCGATGCAGCATCAGTCCGAGTGTGAGCCTGAGGAGAGGCACAAGACCCTCTAGCTGGGACCCCGTGGCTTTAGCCCGAGCAGGAGCATTGGCACAACCCGGCTGCCATCTCCAGCCTGGGCTGCGGCAGCACTCGCACGGCGCGGCACGCTCCCATTCAGCTACGGGCACGGTCCGCACTCAGAAGTCAAAAGGGGTCCTGGCCCCCGTGCTGCACAGGCCAGCAGCTGATCAAAGAGGCCCAAAGTCTTGCGAGCTCCAGGCAGCGTGCATATGCGTGCAAGTATTTGCACACCCCCAGTGATCTCGTGCATGCTGCAGACCCCACTAACCCTTCCCCCTACCTTCCCGGGGGCTCATTTGCTTAGGACAGTGCGCACCAAAGGGACCCATGCCGAGACAGGCCAAGGACACGTGGAGGGAGACCACGGCGGTTGCCACGCACAGATAACACGAACGGTGAGGATAGCCGTGGACATGAACACGAGGCACACAAGCTACAAACGTAGCACAGGCAGCCGCAGATCATGCCGGGGCCGGTTCTCCCCCTTTCCAGAGCCCCTCTTCTAGCTGGTGCCTCTGGGTCATCCTGAGGAAGCTCAGCCCAAGATGTGCAGCATGAGCAGAGGGCGCAGCAAAGGAGATGCAGGTCTCCGGGGTGTTTGCACACGTGCTTGTCCGTGCAACAACCTGCACCCTGATTGGGGGGCTCACGGAGGCAGGTTCAGCTGGAGAGCATGCCGGGGTGAAAGGATGCTTGCCACCCTCTGCCGAAAGGGCTGAAAAAGCAAATTCCCTTGCAATTACCCCCTGTGGAGTGCATGCAATCTGCCCAGGCCCCGATCCTCTGAGGTGCCTGGGCACTGGTTCTGCTCGGCCCTGCCATGTCTCCCAGGCACATCCAGGAAGACCCCCCTGCTCGCTTCCAGGTCCCCGGGGCAGCACAGGATGGGGAATCAGCCCTGCCAAGAAACCCTCTCCCAGCTCAGCCCTGCGCTCCCCGTGAGGGTGCCGTGCCAGCAGCCTGGCTCCATGCCTCCTCTTGCAGGTGCAAGCAGGGAGGTGTCCTGATACCCAGAGGCTCTGGGCCCACACTCCCTTCTCTCCCCTTGTTGAGCAGAAGCACGGGGGGCTGCTCCCCACATTGTCCCCGGCTGAGACACCGGTTCTCATCTCATTGCACAGGGAGCGGTGCCCCCCGAGCAGCTCCACACCAAGTCCAACGGAGCCCCTGCTCCATCCGCAGCGCACAGGGCTTCCCCGCCATGCAAGCAGCTCTGACCTTGGCTGACCCAGCGCCGATGAGCTCATGACCTTAAAATAGAGCAATTTCATCGCTCCACAATGGAAAGAAAATCACCTCGAGGTAATTCAGCAACCTCAATGCATCCGGAGCCCACTCAGTGAGCACGGAGAGAGGGAACACGGCCCCGGAGGCAGCTCGGCAGAGGCACCGGCGCACTCAGCATCCTGGCAGCGTCTTAACCCAGTACAAAGTCCAAGGACTCTGGGATGATGCAGCTCAGTAACACCGGGGTTCACGGGACACTGGATAAACACAAGCACCGGCTCTTTGAGGAGCTCCGGAGGCAGGATTAGTCCCGGGGCGCAACGCAGGCCACCTGCCCGGAGCGACTCGCCCGCGGTTCCTGGTGTCAGGCCCGACGGAAGCAAGTAGGCAAGCGCTGGCTCCGGCCCCCGCCTGCGAGCCGCAGCGACTGTGTGGCCCAGATGCGTGTTCAGATCAGCGCTCCGGGGACCACTTGCAGCACCGTTTTTTTTGCACGTGGTTACACGAGCCCTCAGACACGGGGATGCTGGCTGCGGCGAGAGAATGGCCTCCCAGGCGCTGCTGCGTCGAAGGACGTCGGACTGAAGAGCTCCGCTGGCCGGAGAAGAAGGAACCAGGGGTGCAGCCACTGCCCAGCAGAGCCTGAGATAGTTTACTATAAAAGAGAAATTATCTTGAAACCTGCCTGAGCAAAACACCGCGAAGGGACAAGATCCTAGGCTTGCAGGGATTCAGGAGCCGCTGTTAGCTTTGTCCGTGAAAGAGGATCAGTATCTCTGTTTTCAGCCAAACAGCGGCTGGATCAGCAGCGGTTTTCAACACGCGCGGCAGGTTCCCGATTTCAGGTGCAATCACCTGGAGCACCCAGAAAGCTGAGCTAGAGAAACAGGCAGTGCCGTCGGCTGCCCGAGGGATGGCGGCGTGTGAAATGCAATGTCTGCCGATCCCCTCTCCAAAGAACTGCCTGCACATTTCCAGAGCGCCTGTGCTAGAGGCCTCAAAAGATCTACTAGTAAGAAAAGAAAACAGGAATATTAGACTTCAGTTCCCCAGCGCAGAGCTGACAGTCGTCCCAAGCGCCTCGCAAACACTTGTTAAAAATACCTCCCAGGCCCGCTCGAAGCAGAGAGCTGGAAGGCGTGACATTTCGGGGAGGCCTGGCTCATTGCAGGCCTCTGCTTTACTGCCGCTCTGGGCCGCTCGAGCAGCGCAGGAACACGGCGGGTTCGGGTTCGGGTCTCCGCAGCCTGGCCTGTGCTGCAAAGGCCTACGCGAAGGGCTCTTCAATTCTGCCGCCTGCACCCTTCATGCATTAGGACGAATGCAATGATTTTGTACACAGGAAAGATGGGTGACCTGCGGCTGAGGGGGACGGCCTGCAAGAGCCCAGGGAAAAGGGGCTGGTGAATGAGCCAAACTTGAACGCACGCGTTGCTGGAGAAAACTCCGGGAGAAGCCAAGCCTCAGCGCCTGGGCAAAGCAGGCGGACGGATGGCGGGGAGGAGAGGGAATCTGTCTGAAGTCTGTACGTCCCTCTGCTATCTCGTGCTTGCAAAAACAGAATAAAAAGCCAGAGATGAAACAAAGAGGAACAGCAGCTGCAGCAGGGAAACGGAGACGGGCTTTCCCACTCAAAGTGCTGCCTTCTCCACTGATGGGAAAACAACATCTGCTGGAATGGCTTCTTCCACCCAAAACACAGGGTGCAGCACCAGCATCAGGCCTGGGACCTCTCCAGCCCCAAGAGCTGCCACTGGGCCAGAGACACCACACAGATGGCACCCGGCCGCATCCATCCCAGGGTCTGCAGGCAGGTTTCCGACCGGCTCCCGAGCTGCAAAGACTGGGTGAATGAAAGCTAGGCCTCAGCTGCGGGGGCCGAGCAAGGCTCTGGCCCCTTCTGAAGCAGGACAGCGGTTTGCATAAGCACGAAGCAAGCACCGGCAGGGCTGGCAGCACCGAAGAAGCGTCTCTGGTGGCCGGACAGCAAGTGCCCCCGCAGCCAGGGCCCACGGCAACAGCAGCCCCCGCGCAGCGCAGCCCGGGCCCTCCTGCCTCCAGCATGGGCCTGCCCCTGCTCCCGAAGCAGCTGCCGCTGTGCTTTGAAGGATGGCATCAGCTGGCAGGAGGGCCTGGGCAGCCCGTTGTCCGGGCGGCTCCAGCGCGGAGCCCGGGTCCCATGTCTGGATGAGCCGCGGGAGACCCGAGCTGGGCCCTGGGCAGGGAGAAGGCACCGCGGCAGCGCCGAGGAGCCCAGGGAATACAGACTCTGGGGCAGACGCATCCTCCCTTCCCAGCGCTGGAACGGCCCTGCTCCGTGCCGCTCGTTATCAGACCCACTCCAGCTGCGCCTGGTCCGGGTCTCCCGTTGCAACCACCTGCTCGCACGCGCCTGCCTGGGGCAAGCTTCGGGGTAAGGCCCCAGGCAGGTCCCAGTGCCTCCAGGGACCTGGGAACAAGCACAACCTGCATCAGCGGCACCGGTTAGATCTCCATCCAGGCACCGGTTACTGGCCCAGCACTTTGGGCTCTGGCACGGCCTCGTTCCACGCGCCTCTCGCCCCCCTCTGCGCAGACAGCACCCAGGCTGGCCTCAGCACCACTGCAAAGTGACCGTAAAGCCAGCGCCAGGGATGCTGAGGGCACCTGGCACTTGGCGATGGAGGACAACCAGGAGAGGGGAGGGTTTCCAACACCCACCGGAGGAAAGCATCCACCTTGCACCGAGGGCAAAGGGGCCGTCTCCTGCACCCGCCGTGCAGGGGGGAGCTCTCTGGGCTGGTGGGGACAGGCAGCTCCATCCCTGGTAGAAAGCCCCGGGCATCACCCAGAGAGAAAAGCTGACGACTCCAGGGGAAGCAGGACAGGCCGGCAAAGGGAAGAGCTCAGGTGCCAGGCCGGCTCCAACTCGGCGGCCTCTGCGAGCCTGGGAAGGGGGATCCGTTCACAAGATACAAGGAGTCTCCTTTCCCTGGGAAGCAAGGCCTCACCGCGCTGACACTACCATCAATAAAAATCCCCCATTCTTTCCACCCGAGCCATCTTTCGTCAGGAGAAGGTGCTTCGGACACGCTCTCAGCTCAGGAGACACTTACCTGAACTGAGGCACCCGCATCCCAGCAAGCCAGCCTGCCCCGTCTGGGATGCCTGACAGCCTCGGTCAGAGAGAAAAAATTAAGGACCAGAGCACGCTCACATGATTTTTTTTTTATTGTAAGTCTCTTTGTATGAGAGCAGTTGACCAACACACAGAAGCAGCTTCGCTGTTCCAAAATAAGTCTCATTTAAAAAATAAAATAAAATAAAAATGGTAGAATTAACTAAAGGTGGCACATCACAGAAACTGCTGAGGACTGTAAACTCTGCACACAGTCTCTGAAAGATACTACTTCAAACGTGCACTAGTAGTATATCGATGAGGTATAAAACCCTCTTCCGCACAATAAATATGAAAAGAGCAAAGTACATAAAACAAATCATGTTCCTCATAGATACAATATCTAAAGTTATTTACAAATACTGGCTTTTCTTACCATTAAATTACACATTGAAAACAGGTTCGTTCTTTTTTTTTTTTTTTTTTTAATCACGAGTTGCTATTAACGTAAAACTGCTCCCGCACTGTTGCTTTTGAAAGGCTGAATTAAGTCACCAAAAATATGAGTTAAAAAAAAAATGCCTCTCGCAGGAAGTTCTTGCTTTATTCTGTTTTTCATGGCTGGTTTTATTTGCTCTGTATCACTGGACCTGCTCAGCTCTCTCTCAATCACCAAGAAAAAAAATAGACACGCTGGGACAGGCAGAGCTTTGCCGGACTTGGGGGTACAGCCCCATCCCCTGCATCTTGCTCCCTATTCTTCAGTCTAACGAACAAGAATGGAAATAAATAAATCAGGAAAACGCAGATGCCAAGAGTTTGCTCTGCCCTTCAGTCTCAGACTTCAAAAACCCAGCCTCCAGGTATCGTTTTAAAGACGTACTGGATCAGCCTCAGGACATATTTAAGAGAGTGCTTCGTAGTAGTTTTAGGAGGACACCGGTGTCTCCTTTATATTGGCCTAGTCTCTATCTCCGCTGATGCTCTTGGGCAGGACCACTCCTGTCCCGTTTCCCTGCTGGCCACAGAAATAAACTGCAGACAAACAAGCATGAGAATGCAAAAAACACACAAAACCAACCCAAAACCATCAGCCAAAATTAAAAAACAAAAAACCAAGAGGCAGTTGCCTTGACACTGTGCTGGCACCCACTTAAAATAAAGCACTTCAGACAGCACATCTATGAGAAGAGGAGGCTTAACCCCAGTGACAAATAAAAGCAGCTCCCCATCAGCAGAAACCTATTTAATTAAACGCTGAAGCCTGTGCACTTTTGGCTTCACAACGTGAGATTAAAAGCCCTTGTTACAACCTAATCTATTTGTCGAAGTGCAGATATCCCAATTAGAAGTGGGTAAATTATTTTTAGCAAATGATTCATCAGACAAGTTTAGGTCTCCTTTCTGTTTGTTAA